ATAAGATGTCTTTGAACAGAAACACATAAAACAAGGTTATATATTGAAAGGTTGATAAAAATGTGACCAGAGGCTCACAGGAACCTAACCCTGTATTTCCCCTAGGAGCAATGGTTCAGGATCTGCTAATTCAGTGTTAGCAGCAACTTTACATAACATAACTACTACAAATAATGAGATTTGACTATACTAGCCCCATTTTACAGATAAAACAATGAAACTGAGAGAGGTGTGAAATGGCAGCTCCAGTCACACTATAGCACATCATCCTGTTTTATTTTCTTCACAGCACTCATGACTGTTAATTGTATTTACATATTTATTTTCAGTATAATCCACTGCAATTGTAAATTCCATAACAGTACAGATTTAGGGACTTTTGTTCATCTTGTTCTCTGTTATTTTCCCATGCCAAAAACTATTCTAGGCACATACCCAACAGAATGAATAAAGAAATCTCCTATATGTAACTGTGTAAATATTAGGGGTGATGGAAAAGGCAGTTACTTTCATTATGTTAAATCCAAAATATTTAGCAAGACAAATGGAGGCTTAAGACTGGGTAGAGAAAGAAGAAAACCAAAAAGACCAGAGTTGCTTCAAGCGGCACTCTGAAACCTAGAGAGCAGATAAGATTGCCTGGGATGGAAACTTCACAGCTCAACCAAACTCTGGCAACTCTACAGAGTAAGGGAAAGAGATAGTATTTTTGCTTGGTGTTCCATATATCCATAATGGAGAAGCCAGCAGGCAGAGAAAACAGACAAGAGCAGGGATGGTGCCTCTGAAACCCAAGATGAGGTTAAACCATGCATGAGACAGAAAAACTGAGAAGAGCAAAAACTCAGAGCAGGTATTTGAACCTGGCCATGAGGCAGTGCCTGCAGAGTGAAAGAAATTCAAGTTAGACTGCAGGGAAACATTGGATCTGAGGAGCTGATTATTTAAAAGGTTTCCACATTCCCAGTCCAGGTGGAACTGATGGGCTACGGATGCCTGCAGCCCGTCCAGCATCAGAGGGATTGATGAGAAAGAGGACTCTAGGATTTTCTTTTTATAAATACAGAAAGGAAAATGAGATGAGATCCTCTTACATCAACTCCTGCTACAATAGACAAATAACACAAGAACTCAAGACAAAGACGCGAGATTCCAGAATTAATGTTCACTGCTGCTCTGAGCAAAAACTGAACAGTAAACAATAAAGATTTCAAAATTAAAACAAAAGAGCCACTTCAGTATTCTAATTTAACCTTCAAAAATAAAGATGACCTAAAGCGCCATGAACTGAGAATTCCATTCCACCTCAACACCCTGTACTCCTGAGTTATTATGAGAACAGACTGCAACGCAATTCAACTCATGTTCCAAAATGCAACAAGCAGCTTCAACAGGACATGCTGAAAGAAGCAGCACGTCTCAACATTTACTGATTCGTATTTTGGTAGCAAGGTTACAATTAGCTCACCGGTGGAGAATAAACCTATTTGTAACACAGCAATCCATCTGAAAGACACAATCATCTAAAAAGGTTTTTAGAGGAAAATAAAGTGCAGCTTCCTCCTGGACTGACTGCAGATTCCCAAGGTCCTTTCACATGAAGTCCTCAGTCTAACCTTCCTGGGTTCAGAGTCACCATTCTGGCCACCTCTCAGCCTCCATGTTCTTATGTAACATTTACATAGTGCCATAAACATACCCAGAGTTGCGTAAGAATTAAAACGTTGCCAAACCAATAAAGCCTAAAGCAGGTCACTCCCTCCAGACTGCCTTTGATTAGCACAGGTATGCTGCCCCGTCTCCGATGTAAGAGCCTGCCAGAGACAGAAATTAACTTGAGGAAATCTGAAACAAGTCTACAAAAAGGCACAAAGAAGAAGAAATTAACTACACTGTAACATGTGGTGCATCTATCAATCACAGAGTATGTTATCTGCCCCATAAGATAAAAAGTAACCCAACATTGCTTATTCACTGAAGTCAGAAACTGTGTCTAAAAATACCTCCCTGCCAACTGGCTATCAGTAAGTCAGTCTCACGAATGTCCCAATAAGAGTGACACAGAATACTTCCCTACTTTATCGAGGGAAAACTGAGGCAGTCACAGAAAGGTTAAGTTACTTGTTCAAGGACAATCTGTAAGGGAGCGAAGTTCTAGGGCTGAAAACCAGCCTCCTCCCTCCATCTGGCTCTAACCTTTAACCAGAGTAGCCATTTTAATATGTCTTATCACATCTGTTCCAGGAGCTGTTTAAACAAAACTAATCAGATTCTCTTTTCTTTTACAAGAGTTCACTTCCACTGTAGTTCAAATCCATGTCCACTCAACAAAATTACAAGACTTGGCTTGAAATTAGATTTTTAGTCTGTTCACAGAAATTCAAAATGTTCCTATGAGAACGTCAAATGTCTCTCTTGTTGCTTTTGTCTTAAGAAATGAATGTCATGTTCTCCTGCTACTAACTCAATTTTACATTTTAAATACTAATGTGAAAATTCCAAAGCTCGGCCTTAAAACGTGGTACACCTACCAAACGGATGCTATTTCTAATTTAAACTCACTCTCCTTATCACTGGCCTGTTACTGAGTCCTACTTAATTCATTAATTAACAGAGACACCTATCCCTTACTGCCCTCATATCATGTCCAACTTCCAGGCATCAGAGCTGCCTGGCTCTGCCACTTCTCCAGCCCACACAGGAGAGCACTATATAGGAAACACAGGGGAGGGGAAAAAAAATCAACTTCTTGTTATCCTACAGCCTCTATTTTCCCAGAACTGACGTTTTACTTTGAGCCTTTTGCAACAGTGGTCTCCATAACATGCACTATTGGCAACTAGATGTGTCCCGGAAAAAACTGTAGTGTCTGGCCAAGAAGTTTAAAGGCACTTGAGAATGTTTGCTGGACACACAACCTAATTTCCAATTTACCAAAAAAAGAGACTAACTCCCCATTATGCTCACCCACCTTCACCCCAACAAACATCCATTTTAGGAAGGTTACAAAAAATGAACTCTGCCCCATTCAGAACCAGTTGGATTATCAATTAAACATCCTTAACTAGGCTCATAGCAACAAGAAAAACCCCACAAACACCACACCAAATCAGTGGGGAAATGATTGTTAAAAATCTTGGATATATTAGGGGCAGGATAAAAATTCCTATGCAAGGAATTTAAAGATTTATTCCTACACACATAAAAAGACAAACCTGAAGGTTGGGCCTCCTTTTTCTTTTACTACCCCACTAGAGAACATTATGTTACACATTCCAAAAACATGGCCCATAATAAGGCCCGGCAAACATCCTTATTCATGAAAATCATTATCTCATCACAAATGTCAGGCTGTGTTCATACACCTTCACCATGTTTATCAGACCCCACGGCAGACACCCATGCCACAGAGCAGCCAGACCAAAGAACACACACGAGGTGCTTAACAGAAGCATTAACCAGTGAACAAAGACCCCACTGCACAGGCTACACCACTGGGAACAAATATCAAAGCCAGAGATAATTAATTTGTTTTTGAGACTCCAAAGTGGCATGGTGTCTCTTCCTGATTGTCTGGTTTGTTAAAGAAGCCTGAACCCACCTGAGAATCATTCTTTTTAGTGGCGAGGAGAGCCACAGAACACACACTGGATCTCCCATTGCTGGAAGGTTAGGGGCTGCTGAGAAGTGAGAGCAGCAGGCTTTGTACATCGGGAGAGAATACAATCCTGATCATCTCTCCCAGATCCATCTGTGGGTCAATAATCACTTCAATATAACTGCCAAATATAACCTTCATCTGCTACCCCAATGCCAAAACACATTTGAGATGACTCTCTCAAATGAAGTATTTTAGGGTTTCATCCGCTCTCCTCAGCCCCCAAAGCCTCATAAACAACACACCCAGTGGAGTGTCCCACAGAATGATACCCACCTCAACAGTGGGAAGGGTGGGGGTGGTGTCAGGCAGCAGCAGGCTGTGGGGGTTGGAAGGCAAGGGGTGTGTGAGGGTGAGGGAACTGGGGGTTGGGCTGGGAAGAGGGAGCATGTGGGAAGGTAAATAAATACTGACCAAGGTCTGGAGAGACACTCCAGAGGTGGGATCCTTAAATAATCTTGGGGATTGGAGACAGGTTCTAGGATTTCCCCTGAAAGGCATCCACAAAGTGATTAACTGAATGGGCCCCCTGGGGTGGGGTGGGGGAAGCGAGGAGGAAAGCAAATACACCTAGATTCAGACTAACCCTTGGGGAACTAGGTTGGTAGGGTTAGAGAGACTCCAGAGCCAAGCTCCAAAAAGGTTTAGGGGCCTGTTCGTCCCATTTCCTCCAAATAGCTTCCACAGGACATGTGTGCTGGAGGTGAGGGGTTTTGCCCCACTGAACTCAAGGCACTGAGTGAAGGGGAAATGTGGCTCCCTTTCCCAGAACATTAGGGAGGGAGGGGAAGAAACACCCCAAGCGCAGGACCTGAAGGAAAGGTTAGAGACCCCTTCCCCTGTAGCCTGAGGTGCGCAAGGACTCTCAACATCAGGATACCTTGGAGAAGCAAAGACCCCACTGCCCGATCCCCACAATCTTGGCGGGAGAAAAGATGCCCCCCAGGAGCATCTGGAGGGAGGGAATAAAGCCCCCCACCCCTGGACACGCTGAAGGGCAGAAATCATAGACCTCCAAATCTTTAAGAGGGAAGCCCAGACTCCCCTCTATGGAACAGGAGGATGCTGGGAGCGCGACCCCCGAGAGCTACCCGAATCCAGTTCCGCCTGAAGAGGGCTCAGGTCCCCAGGGGCCCGGCGTGTGCTCGGTCGCCGCTGAGCTGCAGCGCCTCGGAGGTCGGGGGAAGCTGACCGAGGGTCACCCCGACTCCTCCGCGCCCCCCGCCCGGCCATATTGTGCGCTTGGGGAGGGGGCGCGCTGTAGCCCAGGGACCGCGGCTCGAGGCCTCGCCCTCGCCCGGCCCTCTCCATCCCGGCCCCCGCTCCCAGCCCCGGGACTCACCCTGGATCCCCCGGGGCCCGGACCCGCCGCTGCCAGCGAGCAGGAGGACGACAAGGGGGAAGAAGGAGGAGGCTCTGGCCGACTCCGCCATAGTAACCGCCGCCGCCGCCGCCGCAGCCCAGCAGCGCCCAGCGCGCGCGCGCGCGCCCCCGGCGCCTCCCCTCCTCCCGCGGCCCCGCTCCCGCCTCCCTCTCCGCCCGGCGCCGGCACGTGCGCTCCCGGCGGAGCCGGCGCCGCGACCGCCGCGCGCGCCCCCGAAGGGCGGGGCCGGGGTGCGCGCGGGCGCCCGCCTTAAAGGGGAGTGTCCCTGTTAAAGGGGTGGGCGGGGTTCGCGCCTCGACCAACCTCACAGGTCGGTGCTGAGCAAGGCGCGGAGGAGGCCGGAGCCGGACGTGCAGCCTCCGCCCTCCCCTGCACCCGGCGCAGCGCAGAATTATCTTATCAGCACCGATCCCTCGCCCTGCATCGAATATTCTACAAGCCCCGCGCGTGTTCTCATTCCTCCATCCCTGCTGCCTAGCCTCAAGTCCCCGTCGCGTCCCACCCGGATCATCGCAGCGGTCTCCTAACTGGTTTCGCTGCCTGGCCTTGGCCCCTGCGATCCTCTGGACACTGTAACCAGTGTGATGGAACCATGGCATGCTCCTTATCAAAACATAACCAGGCTTTTTAAGGGTGATACTCAAGTCCTGGTGAGGGTGCCGTGTGAGGCACTCTCATTCTGCCAGTAGAACCCTTTTGGTAAACAATTTGTCATGATGTATCAAATGCCTTAAAATATTCATACCGATTTACCCGGTATTATCCCCTGTCTTCAAGAAATAATAAGAGAAGAGAACAAATATTTATGCAGAACGGTAAATTGCATATTTATCATTGTAAAAAGCTGGAAACTGAGAAAGCAATAATAGAAGACCGTTAAATAAATTATGGCCCATTCATATGATGAAACATTATTTAGTAATTAAAAATCATGTTTACAAAGAATAATAACATGAGATAATGTTAAATGAAAAGCAAAATATAAAACAGTTTGAAGTATTATTCAAATTTTACTGATAATATATATTTTCACAGAAAAAAACTGGAACAATATTACCCAGTATTATCAGTAGTTATGCTGGGAATAATTTTTTACTTTTTCTTTAAACATTTCAGTAATTTCTAAATATTTTCCAAATAATTGTTGCTTTCAAACTTAGAAAAAAATGCTTATAAAAGGAAAACCAAATCACCCCATATCTCTTTGGAAAGAGTTCACTTTCTTTAGCTTGAGAAACAACTTGAGATCATGCAAGGGCAGGGTCTTTGGGAGTTTCCAGAGTTCTGGATCTGAATTCCACTTCTTACTAACTGGCTGTTAAAATGTGGGCAAGAACCTCTCTAAGCAGTTTCATCATCTGACCTCTGGAGGGGGAGAGGATGGCCACTAGGGGAAAAAATTTTCAAATAGAATCCTCACCTTATAAGTTGTCACCAACCAGAAGAACTCCCATCCTCGTATCCAGAAAAAACAAAACTGCAGACACACTCACCAGACACAACACACACAAACACACCAGTGCAAAGTCATGTGGAAGCACTGTCTACAAGTTGATTATCTTCCTCATCCCCCCAGATAGGCACACGCCCCCTCCCAGGCCATCTGATTGGACTCCCAAACTATGTTCTCTCCACCCAGCTGTGATGGAACAGTGGTAGGTTCAGTTTCCTAGGGTTGCTGTACGAAAGTACCACAAAGTCCCACAAACTGGTAGCTTAAAATAACAAAAATTTATTCTCTCCCAGTTCTGGAGGCTAGAAATCTGAAACTGTGGTGTTTGTAGGGCCATGCTCTCTCTGAAGGCTCTAAGGAAGAATCCTTCCTTGCCTCTTGTAGCTTCTGGTGGTTCCCAGAATCCTTGGTGTTCTTTGGCTTGTGCCTCTATCTTCACATGGTTGTCTTCTCTCTGTCCGTACCTCTGTGTCCTAATTTCTCTCTTCTCTTAAGGACACCAGTTATTGGATTAGGGTCCACCCTAATTCAGTATGAGTTCTAGTAATCTTTTTTTTTTTTTTTTTTTTTTTGAGACAGAGTCTCACTGTGTTGCCTGGGCTAGAGTGCCGTGGCATCATCCTAGCTCACAGCAACCTCCAATTCCTGGGCTCAAGCGATCCTCCTGCCTCAGCCTCCCGAGTAGCTGGGACTACAGGCATGCGCCACCATGCCCGGCTAATTTTTTCTATATATTTTTAGTTGTCCAATTAATTTCTTTCTAATTTTAGTAGAGATGGGGTCTCGCTCTTGCTTAGGCTGGTTTCGAACTCCTGACCTCAAGTGATCCACCCGCCTCGGCCTCCCAGAGAGGAGTTCTAGTAATCTTGACTTGATTACATCTGCAAAGATTCTATTTCCAAGTAAGTCACATTCACAGATTCTGGGTAGACATGAATTTGGGGGGGCTGGGGTAGGGGTGACATTATTCAACCCAGTACAGTCACCAATCCCTGCATTTGGGAAGGGAAAGCTAACCCCTCAGGAGCACATCTCTGAGGCCAAGGAGCAAGGAGCTGTCCTTTATGCTTGCTAAGTGCTGCCACTGTGGCTGCAAGAACAGAGGTCCCAGAGGGGACCTGTGGTTGCTTTACTCCTAGAGAGTAAGGTCAGCCTCATGCCTAAATATACAGACAAGGGAACCAGAATGCTGGGTCCACAGACCAAATGCCACCACCTTAGCTCATTTGATAGCATTTGACTTTGGGCAAGATCTTTTACCTCCCTAAAGCTCAATTCACTCATCTATTAAATGGGGCTAATAATAGTTCTATCTCATAGAGATGTGAGGATTGATAAGGTATTGTATGTAAAGCACTTAACATCATCTCTGATATATAGGAGCAATGTAAAAAGAACAGCTATTAGTGTTATGCTTTGGACTTCGCTATACTCTTGTGAAGTAGTTGAGGCATGTCAATGTGCCCAATTTATGGATGAGGCAACTGAGGCCTAGAGAAGGTGAGCAAAGGGGCAAAGCAAAAGATGACAAGAGACATTTGTCTGGCATTCAGGGAACTGTGAGCAGCACAGCAGTACACCCAGAGGGTGCAGGTTGGAGGGGGCTGGTGGTGAACTGAAAGGTAATGTTGGAGAGGTAGGCAGATGTGGAAGTACACTTGGAAGTGTATTTTTCTCCAGTGTACTTGGAAGGGCTCTAACCAGGGGAGTAAAATGATCATATTTGTGTTTTAGGAAGATCATTTTGCTGACCTAAGTGAACTTGACCTTTGTACAGAGGATGGTTGGAGGAAGACAGGACTGGTGGTAAGCAAACCAAGGCAATTCCCATAGCCCAGCCAAGATGGGAGAAGGACCTGACCCCAGGCAGCAGCAGTGGAAGTGGGAAAGAGAACTAGATCCAATATTTCAGACGAGTAGAAATGACAAGATTGATTGGATATGGGAGATGAAGAAAGGGGATAGCCCCATGTGATTCCAGGATAACCTGACGTAGGTGACTGGCTGTCCAGTGGCTCCATTCAGCAGAATAAGAAAGGCAGGCTGGGAAGAAGAAAATGAATCCCCTGTTGGATATACTGGGTTTGAAGGGCCACCTATAGGTGCCTGCGCCACAGAGATGTGGATTTGGAAGTCAGCAGCATATCATAGTTGTCCAAACAGCTCAAGGGACCATGAGAATTCTGGAAGTACAGCAACACCGGTGGGAAAGAGGAGACAGAGAGGGAATAGCTACAGAAGTAGAAAGAAAACCTGGAGAGCACAGAATCATGAAAACCAAGGCAGAAGAGGCTTTCAAGAGGTCCACAGATTCTAATGTTGAGAAGAGGTCAAGGTGAGGTACAAGAGGCTCCTGGATTTCATAACTGGAAGCCCATTGATGATGTTTACCTGAACAGGTTCAGTGGAGGGTGGGGTGGAGGCCTAAATTCAGGGGGCTACAAGAGAATAGGAGGAGAAGGCTTAGAAAGACTGTGTGTCATCTCTTCTTTAAAGGAACATGACTGTGATGGGAGAGGGAGATTTGGATTTCCTTCAGCATAGTAGACCAGGTTTCTTAAGCAAACCTTCCATTCAAAATGCTCAGTAAACTAGCAAGAAAGTGAAGAATACTCAAGTCAAAAACTAGGGAACAGGCTGGGCACAGTGGCTCATGCCTGTCGTCCCAGCACTTTGGGAAGCCAAGGCAGGAAGATCACTTCAGGCCAGGAGTTTGAGACCAGTCTGGGCAACATAGCAGGACCCCATCTGTACCACAATTATGAAACTAAGCTGGGTATAGTGGCACATGCCTATCTACTCAGGAGGCTGATGTGGAGGGATTGCTTGGGCCCAGGAATTTGAGGTTACAGTGAGCTCTGATGATGCCACTGCACTCTAGCCTGTGCAACAGAGTGAAACCCTATCTCTAAA